TGCGACAGCTCTCTTCAGTACTTGACCTAAACTCCTACGAAGTCAGCAAGCAGCCATTGATGATCATCATGGACACTAAGGAAACGGGGTGGATAACGACGACGAGATCCAGCAAGCCGCCTGGATAAGGTTGAGTCACGAGTTTCTCGAGGGGACTGAGGAGTCAAGCTGAGTCAAGCCGAGTCAAGCTGAGTCAAGCTGAGGCGCGGTAATTCAGCATGAGATAATGTCCAAAAGGGAACCACGGCTTCAAGAAATTTACAATGCCTGCAGCGGTCAAGGCTCGGTACAAGTAGCTCCCTCAGCACCGACGGCAACTTTCAGGTGGCCTTCACTTTCCAGCGATGTGTACTCCTTGATGGTCTCCCCTAACCTCAGCGAGTGAGCATCGCAGTCCGTCCCAGCAGAGGTACAAGGCGGTGCTTCCATGGCCTTCGGCCTGTGGATTGATAAATGGACTTAACCGAATCTTAACCCACTTCTTTCACTTCACTGATCAGGACGCTGCTGAGTACTGGGGCAGCCAAGGAGCGTTTTGTCAAAGAAGTCCTGACTGGTCGAACTCAGCAAAAACACCCTGAAGCAACACAAAGCAACATAGAATATACGAACCCCCGATCATTATGGAAAGCGCGCCTTTGGTCTTGATAAGATGGCTCTTTTGCAAAATACGGCATGTTACTTGGAATGCGAAAGCACAAAGCATTCGGGAAGAGGAAGGTGCGAAAAGTTTCACAAAACTACCAAAGCCACGGCTCCCATTTGCCAGACCAAGCTTGCAAGGCTTCCAAAAAGGTCTCACCTCGGTGAGAGGATGCTTAGCAGTTCTCTTGTCATCTTGGGGTACATGTCGTATGCGCACACACCTGCATTACATACATATACATGTTTAATTACTTATTTATTTATGGAGTATGTACTTTCATGAAAAGCTTTTGCGGCGCAGGCAGCCCTCTCCCCTTGGTATGACTCCTCGACGCGTGCCAGGGGAACTCGGCGCACTCACCAGCATTTGGCGAGTCGGGTTCCTTGCCCTTGACTTGATTCATATAGCGTCTTTTTTCTACTCATCCCTACAAAAGCCCGTGACAAGAAGTTGAGCCAAGTCAGGCGGCGCATCAGGCTGAGGTCATCGGTGACCTTCTCGGATGGTTGCTTGTCGTCGGGCTTCTTCTCTTTCGCCAGTGCCAAGCTCATCTGCAAGGCATGCGGCAAATGCTTGCTGCAAAGTACATCGAGACTGAAAAGGCTTGGGGCACGGATAGATCAAGTACCGTCCACACGCTCAGTCGTGCCGAAACAACGCGCAGGCCTTTTGGATGACTTTCCTGGTGCTGCCCTTCTGCTCGTGGAAGCTTCTAGAGGATTCCTCAAGTTGGTGACGGAAAACAAACCCAATGAAAAGTACCCAAGGCTCATGCTAATCATGTTAGCCTTGTCTGCTCTTGATCTGTTGCCCAAATGGGCTCAGGACCCTGTTCTGGTTCGGATGGCACCGTGCTGACTGTGCCCAAGCTCTCCGAAGCTCCAAAATGAACCTGCTCCGCCCTGATCGTGGCTTCTTTGGACTCTTTGTTTTAACGGTCAGCACTGAGTCATCACATGTCATGTACGAAGACATCTTCCGTTTGGCTTCGAGGGCTCTCACGCGGGCCAGACATGTCGTGACCATGCTGCAGACAGAAAATTTGTGGAGTCTATCTGTGCACGGGATTGACCAGGGCCACCTGTTGCCAAGAATCTAAGCCTCTGGCATCCTCTGAACATCACAGTATCAGCACGTTATTAGTTGCGGCGGCGACAAATCTTCAGGATCACTTCGCGAATCAGGGACGGCTCCGTCAACTACCTGTGTAATTAGTGTAACTAGTGCCTGGATCGTCATGTTGTAGCTGCACACCGCGACATCACGTCACTTTGCACGAAGCCGGGCCATCGCCGAAGCACGTGCTCTTAGACAGCTACATTGCACGTAATTCATACGCTAACTAAGTCAGCTAATGTGATTTGGAGTCTGGAGGCCTGAAGGTGACCTTCTAGGGCTTCACTTCTTCTACGAATAGGCCCCCCCTTACATATCCTTACATGCAGTACCACTACCTGACACGCATACACACGCACACAGAGACAAAGACAGAGACAGAGACAGGGACAGAGCACACCACCATGTTTCATGACCACAATTGACCCTGCTGGCGAGCAGCAGCCCAAGCGGCCATATTACGCTGCGCGCTCACCAAGCTGAAACCCACGATCACATAGTAGAGGAAGAAGGTCATGAACAAGTGCCTTAAGCAGACAGGAACTTCACAAAAAAACAGCATGAACTCGCTGCGGCTCTAACCGTTTGGTGTCTTGATCAAAAGAAAACCGTCTGGGTCTGTTCATGTCACTTCCCTCATCCCGCTCCTCTCGCTGTCCACGTCCTGTGATGGGGGGGCTCTCGGCAAAGTCGGGAGGTGGAGGAGTCTCCGACACTAGGGCCTCTAGTGTTAGTGGGCCCCAAGCTCAGCCGCGACCGCTGCTCTGCTCCGGTTGCGCTGGGATTTTTGGTGTTCATTGGGCTCTTCCACAGGCAAGAACTTACTGCATCACTGCACCTGCCTGATGCAGACGCTGAATCCGATAATTTTTGGAGTTCCATCCAAAATTTCAATGACAGAGCACACCACTTCAGTACAGTTGCATGTGGACATCCTCCGTGGTGTGCAGATACTCTTCCGCAGTATCGGGGAGAGCAATGTCCTTTACGTCAAGGAAAGCCCTCTCTATGGCGACAAAGGCCCCGAACATCTTGCAGACCCAGAGCAAGAAGGCCTCAGAAAACAAAACAGGTGACCAATCAACTGGAACATTTCTCTTCTTGCAAGCGCAATGACAAACGGATGGAACTGCGAACCCCGCCCCCCCCCCCCCACCCCAACAAATTATGTGTGTGTGTGTGTGTGTGTGTATATATATATATATGACCCGGTTCTCGGTTCGCTGGCCCTCCCCCCCCCCCCCCCCCCCCGCCCCCCCATCGTATCCACCCACCCTCCTTCCCTAAACCCTAAACCCCAAACCCCCCACCCTTAAACCTGAACCCTAAACCCTAAAACCCTAACCTTAACTAAACCCTAAACCCTAACCTTAAACCCTAACCCCAACCACGCCACATCGGCGGGGGGTGGGCCTAAACCAGCTGCACCACAGCAGAGAGGAAACCTAATGATGATGATGATGACGACGACGATGATGATAATGATAATGATGATGTTGAGGGCAACAACCTCCAAGCCCTAAAAACAACCCACCAGGAGGAAGGGAGGGCGGGAGCGGGGGGCGGGATGGGTGGGGGAGGCAAGGGAGGGGGGGATTGGGGGGGGGGGGGGGGCGGAGTGCTCCATTTCTGGCCCTGATGTGCGAGAAGATCAAACCGTTCTTTGCCTGACTTGCAACCCAACACCACACTTGGGAGCGGCGGGTCTCACAAGCTGCATGACATGAAGGACAACATAGATCTGCAAACTTGCCTTTTTTGCATCCAGGCTTGGGTGCAAACTTGCCTACTTGCTGAAAGCCTCACGGACCAGATTCTGTGGCAGCTATGGAAAGCTTTCGTGGAGCAATGACGAGGCAGCTTCAGCATATAGGAACATGATTTGGCTGTTCGGTTGCTGCATGTTGCCGCCAAGAAACAAGAATGCCCAACACTGTGAACTCTGCGGTTGCCCGGTTCAGGAAAACGGCCCAAAGAGGCTCGACACTCTTCTTCTCCAACTCATGAGCGGCCAGCTCCTGACTTGACACGCATGTCGCAACACGTTCATGTGTGTGTGACAGGAGAGCATAAGGTGCATTTAGATGAATTTGGTTCAATGTCTCAACCATGACCGCGACGATGCAGCCTGCAAGTCAGCCGAGCAGTGCTACGGGTCTCCTTTCGACCTTCCATCATCGCCCGCACGTACTCCTGAAGTCAAGCACACACACACACACACACCTACCTCATGCATTGTGTAAGCACGTGCGAAGGCTAAACATGGCAGGCTGGCTGGAGAATGCTCAGCCAGGTGGTCTAGCTTGTGCTCAAGGAGGTCGACAAGCCTCAACTATCGTTGCGATTTTCCGCGAATGTCGTGGCAAACGTGTCCATGCTTGCACTTGCACCCTCTTCAGGACCTGGTCAACAATATTTACTTTACTTTAAAGAACTTCGACGCGTCTTCGGCTGAGCCGCAATGTGATGCCCACAAGAGCCACCACAGTTACTTCTTCGTAGTGCTCATACTCCTGGCAGCTGCGGCGGTTCTTTGGGCGGAATGAGACTTGTTTGTGTGCTGATCTTCTGAAGTGCCGCTTAGACTCGAAATAACAATCCCACCACACCTTATGTGACGGCGGTGCGTTCGTGGCACCAGTAGATGGAATGCGTCGGGAATGCTTCATGAGATGTCATGAGTTTCTGTAGAGCTTGATTCCAACCAAAGCATCTCGGAGTTGATTTGCTCTTCTTGTCAGCCGAGTTGCGTGATGCCCGTCCCAAAGATGCGATTCGTTGCACGGTGGCACATAGTCCGTGTCAGTGTCATGGGTCGTGTTTGCGCCAACCGCCAATCGCCAGCAAATAGTCATGGCAAAGGCACCTCGACATGTCTGCAGGAATCGGTTCGTGTCTGCTTTGGTGACCAGTGTCAAAGAGCAGTCACATGCAATCAAGCGAGCCTCGTAGCCATGGCTGCATCACCTTCCGACTGCACCAGGTCTCACTTTGCAACACTAACAGCGAGCAATCTCTGGAATTCGCGGCCTGTATGGCGCTGTAGTGGCCCCGGCCGCCGTGTTGTTGACAACATCTACTCTTTGCTTGCAGCCGAACAGTAGCTGCAGGGAAGAATGAGAGAACCCCTGGGTTGCTCACTGTCCATCAACGGACCCCAGTGACTGAGTGATGCACAGTGCGTCTCCGCAAGAGAACAGTGACTCTGTGGGGAGTAAGGAGGACTTGAAGAGAGGGCCTTGGCACCACGATCTCCGACGCCGCATCGCAGCAGGCTGAGGTCCAGCTCCGCCAATCCACGTGGTAACTTAAGGGCAAACCAATCTCTCACATACACAGCTCAAGGGTGCTTTCTTGGCAGGAAGCGCGGCAGCCGACAAGCCGAAAAAAAGGATAAAAGGATAAAGGCCAATGAACGCCAATAAGATACAAGCCGACAAAGCCGATCTGATAAATCGACGTGCCGGTGAGCCCACAGGCCCACCGGCTCACCTCGGAAGAGGTCCTGGGCTTCCGGGCCGGCTTATTGGCTTCTATCCCTCGAACCCCCTCCTGCCCCCTTTTTCCTTTGCCCCGGTGTGCGGACGGGGGGTTGGTGCAGGGGTGGTGTGTAATGGTGGGTGCAGGGGAAGTTTTGTGTAGCCTTCGCGTTTCGTTTTGAGATTGCAAGCCCTTCTGTGGTGTGTGATGTGTGAGGGTGGAACAACGGCTGCCCTGAGCCCCAGAAGCCTCATTAATAACTGGCCCAAACAGTAGTCAGGCTCCGAGATTAATGGGCCAGCTGATAGGGCCTTAGTTCAGCTCAGCAGGCGTAGGGCTTGATGGGGCACATGATTGGGGGCTTCGATGCTCACACTCGCACAAGGCAGAAACCTGAACCTTGACCCTTTGGCGTGGAGAAACAATGCTGCATCTGGACATGGGTCTACTGCTCTGCTAGATTATATCGAAGCTATGTAGCCAATGCGCAGTGCAAGGCTAGGGGCGTTGTATTTGCCACCTGCCTAGCTGGCTGGCCCTCACGACTCACCCGCCAAGGCAAGCCGCATGGCAGGGACGACTTCTGAGGGCAAAAGGATGTTTTTTCAGGCACGGGACTGGTCTGAGGCCGACGCGAACAAGAACGAACTGACAAGCCAAGTGCAAAGCGCGCACGCTCAGCACTGGTGGTTCAGCACTCACAGCATACAGGAAACTGGCGGCAGGATCCAAACACAACAAACTAGGCTTTACCTCAAGTTTCGTAGCCAATGCCTGTTTCGTGGACATACACTAGCGATAGCCTACTAATTTAGTCATAGAATGCATCCAGACCCTGCAAGGGTAGAAGGACGGGTTGTTGGCTATTGGCTGGGCAGAAGGTGAAACTGGCCGTTGCCTGCGGTCGTTCACGCCCACTCTCTCTGTTTGCGAGCGTTCTGTCAGACTGCTTCCCACTGCTGCTAGTACGGCGATGCAAGGCCAGGATAAGTGCGCTCAGATGAGGCCAGTTGTTCTTTGGATGTAAGCAAGGTAGCGTCCATTGGTTTCTCATGGGGCTTGCTGAGCGAGCGTCCTTCGATTGATGAATAGGCTCAAAGGCTACATGTGAAGTTTCACCTGCAACAATAGCCATAACGTGTAGCAACCGACTCGGTTAATCCAGTTAATCCTGGGGGGCTTCAGACATGCTTGAAAAATCTCATGGGTGCAGGGGGCCCGTTCGCTCATCGGCATGTCGATTTATCTGTTGTATCGGCTTATATCGGCTTGTCGGCTTTTCGGATCAGCTGTAGCACAACTACAGTAGAAAATCAAGCTTGCGAGCACCATGCAAAAACCAAATCATGACTTTACAATTCAAACCATAGTCATAGAAACACTCTTGGCGAGGCATCGGCCTGCAGATTGGAGGCCCCAAGCGGACCGATGAGGCAGTGCCTCAGTTTGCCACTGCTCGCGCCAGCCAACCATGGCTGCAATCTGTTGCGACGATGTGTGATCAAACGCAGAACACCCAACATGACCGGTTCTGACAACACCTGACAAAGGAGCTGAGGCTGTGGCGAGAGGTCGAGCTCCAGGCGCTCCAAGGTTGGAGGCAGGGCCAGAGCCTACGACCACGGCGCTATCTACGCATCTTGCTTTTTCATGCCGCATCTCTGCGCGGGACCTTGGCCCCTTCAGGCCCGATGTCACACTTCTGCAGGATGAGTCGCAACCTGCCATGTGCTCAATTTTGCAGTTGCCGACATGCCGTGCTTCGACCCTGCTGCGGCCGCTTGGCAGAAGGACCTCAGCAGAGTGCCTGGCAAGCGTAGCCCTGCAGCTCCCACAGCTCGGATGCCACAACCTAAGCTGAGACATGGCAAGAGCTTCCCGAAAGTTCTGTTGATTTCATAGTGACGAAAAAGCACCCATGCACGTTGGCATTCACTCTGGGTCATCGATCAGCAGTGGACTCAGCTTTCCCAAAACCGATGCTGCCTAATAATTTGTCAGAGTCTAAAGCTACTGTCAACACGTGGCATCGGCTGCCGACATGCACAAGGCACATGTCATGCTCACCACTGCTCAACTTATTCTAGGCTAAGCTTGCTGCCCGTATCTAACACACAACCCTGCCGAAGTGCAAAGCCTGCCTTTTCTCGATGCTCAGAGCCGCCATCTTGGATCGTACAACCCCTCGTAAGTAGGGATGGGCCCGCCAGGATTCGGCGTGGATTTGTAGTACTCGTCGTCGTACGGCAGCCTTTCTGCGTCCGTCTGTTGCTTTCACAATCTGCTAGTCCCTGGACTCAACCCTGGCGTCAAGAGCGAACTTCTCTTTAACTTGGGCACTGGCGTGATGCCGATTCTCGCGAGCATGCTTCGCACAAAGGGTGCGGGACATGTCTGGGAAGGATCTCGCAAGCCTTTGGCAAAGTATCGTCCCCAGAATGTCTCTTGAATCGGAGCCACGTGAGGCTCGTCGCCGCCAGAATCGAACCTGTCGACGGGCGGCTCCAAGTAGCCGGAGCTCTAGCTCGATGCACTCAATTGCACCCTTCAATGAGCTTCAATGAAAAGAGCCAAGACACACCAGCAAAATTCCTGTGTCGCCAACAGCTCTGGACATGCCCTTCTGCTCGTTCACATAACCGAGGGCCCACTGTAGGTAGCGCTGCCCTTCTAATATATTATCAACAGTGAGGTGCGAGTGCCCAAAGATGTGCACTTCGGGCTGCAAGCGCCGAATCTGGCTCTCCAGCGCACGCGATCCGGAGACCTTTTCCATCAATTGCGGATTGATCACATGAATGGCATCTTGTATTAACATATATATATATATGTATGAGCCCCCACCAAAGATCTGTACGTTGTTTCTTCTGGTTTGTGTCCACGGCGAGAGTGTCTAACGTGTGAAGAACAGCTACGCGGACATTGTGGGCGCGCATCATCCTCCCATGTGCGACAGGTTTCATTATGACAAATCGCCTTTGCAACAATCGAGTTTATGGCACTCCTTCCCCCTTATGTTTGTAAGGATACTTGGTGGTCCTAAGGGTACTTCGTGGTATATTCTGCACACAAAAGACAAGCATTACATGCCTGGCCTTTGGCAGCATGGAGTCGACCAAGAAGCGCTTCTCAGGGAAGAGTTCCTCCCAGGACGTGCAGCCACAGCTCAAGATGTTCAAAGTGTCCAATCTTAGATCCCACACATCCTCTGGTCGTCCAGGCGCCTGTCTGGGCAAATAATGCGAGAAGGAGATGGTGATGAGATCACGGCCATCACTCTCACAGGTGCTTTTCATGGCTGCGACGCCCTCCAGCAGCGGTTCATTCATTTCCGCAAATATCTCCTGAATCAGCTTGGTGCTCGAGATTGCTGGGAAGATGAGTGGAGCAATCCAGCTTAACACTGATGTGCAGTATGAGGCAGTATGCGTGACTTTCTTCAGCGGGCCCATCTCATTGCTGGCTGTGGCATTTCGGAGGGTTTGCCGTGGTGACGTGACACGAGGGTGTCAGGAAGCATGCAACCAGCAGGATACTTGCTTGATGTGGATGTCAAGGTGAGAGAGAGGCAGAGAGAGAGAGAGAGAGAGAGACAGGGAGAAAAAAAAGCTTCTGCTGAACAGTCCTAGGCCTTGCAACAACTGGACTCTTCCGGAAACAAGACTTTGCAACAGTCACAAGAGTTTCTCGTCAACAAGAAATGTCTTCCAACTCTCGTCTTCAGTCTTCAGATACTATCATCTCATGTATAAGCATGTCGATGCTCTAGAACACTGTGCATCATCCTCGCCGAACCTAGACAAAAACTGATATGTTTTGCCGACTGTCCAAGTCAAACAAGAGTCGCTGATGGCAGTGGAGGTGCCATCCTTTCCAAACTTGAACTCACCCTCCCTGCAGATAACCTCGTCTATCAGCTCTTGCGGCCATTTGAGGATGCGGAAGTCTAGCCAACCGGCCATTGCTTTCCTGACCAAAAGCTGCTCTCATGTTCACACTGCGCTTCAACGTCGGCCTTTCAGAGTGGCGCCTCTGACGCTGCCGCACAGGGTCTGTGCTGAATCGAAACATCACCGTCCGACTGCTTGGTAGCTGAGTAAATATGAGCACCCCAAACTTTTTTTTTACCTTCATCTCCTACAAACTTCCCTGCCTTCCCCTCTCATCCTCCAAGTGTCTGTTCAGGAGGGCACCACTCCAGGTCGGGCTCCTGATCCCAGGAAGATGCATAGAAGGACAGCAGCGGCACAAGCCTTGGATTGCAAGGTCCCTCGATTTCAAGATTCTTGAAGGCAGGGCAAGATATGACAAAAAAAAACATGCTCGCCCAGTGCTTGCCCAAATAGCAGAAGGTCCTTGCTATGCAGGCGGAATCGGACTGGCCGAAGGCGCACCCCCAACGACTGGCAAAGGTCACAGATGTCGCGAAGCTTTGCCAGTGAGTCTGCCGGGCTTCCAGGACGCCTGAGTATCTTTAGAAGCCCTCCTGCACTGCAACCTTGTAAAACTCGTGTCACGTCCTGTGTGTCGTTGGAGCTCCCCGTGGCCTCACCCACATGTCGTGGTTGCCAGCTGTGTAGCACACCATGTCGAATCTGTCCTCAAAGGGGTAGAAAAATGTAGAAAACCAAAACGTGACTTTGCGAAGTCGTGTGGGCAGCTTTAGGCTCATCATGGTTCATCGTTTACCCACAATCTTTTGATTGGCAAGCCACGGTCAGCATCTGAAAGGTCTCCCGAAGGATGGGCATGTCATCCGACACGTCGCCTCTGCTGCGAAGCTTCAACAACAGAGGAAGAGAGCACTTGCCACGTGCTTGTTTGTGGGGTCTTCCGGAGGAATGGTGCATGCAGAGGTTGAGGGACTTTCCAAACAAAGACAAAGGCGAGCATCCGGGCAGAATGAGCACATTGAACTGGCCAGCAGCCTTTTGAGGCAGGTGTTTGCGGAACCATTCCATGTTCTGCTTCATGTCGACGTGAATGTCACTGATCCTTGGAACCAAGTTCTGAAGAGCATTGGAGAGATCAAGTCAACTGTTAGAGCGAGATGTGCTCAGCCCTTCCCTTGAGCTGCTAATCAGACTTTCATATGCAACCCTGCTGTGATGAGACGAGCATCGTGGAGACGCGAAGGCGCACATCCTCTGCGATCGGGACGGTCTCAATGTCGCCCCCAGTTAATGGACCAAAAAGGCTGGACATGTCGCGGTGAGCACCATGTGGAGCCGAGTCCTTGCGCAATTTGGCACAAAACATTCAAGTTCAACTTGTGCCTCGGGCTGGGTTTCATCGGTCCTCATGCCGAAGCTGTAGCAACGGCTTCTCCTGCTCATGCCGACACATGTCCACGAAGCATGTTGCTAAGAGCATTCCTGCACCAAGTCTAGTTCGACTAGAACACACACACCAGGGTGACACCTTAAAAACAAACTCGTGGGACGTCTGGCATCCGACCTTCAGCTTGAGAGAAACCCAGCCCTTAGCCGGGCCGGCTCCAGTCAGCAGCTTGTAGTGCAATCGGTCACGCTGCAAGCTCACTTCTTCCACCCTGGCTCCTCGCAACTTGCACTCCACTGGAGTGCAACGCGTATCGCAGAACATCTCAACTTCATCTCATGTCTGCTCTCCTGTTGCAAGCCTGCCCTCCACTTTCGGGGAGGAGAGGTCAGCCTCGCTGCTTCACAAGTGAAGGAAATCGAAGGAACACGACTAGCGAGAACATCAGATTATCAGATATTCAAAGCCAAGGGTCGCCACTCCTCACCACAAGGCCCCCTGTCTGTTCGCCACCGACCACTTCCCACACGCGCCCAGGCATCCCATGCTAAGATAGGGAAGTTTCGGCCAAACCACCCGTCTCTATTCTTGGATTCTACTTAATACTTTTCACGCATCATAGATGATCATTTTCTGACGTAATGTAGAATGACTGAGGCTTAGTACGGACTCTCTGAAACCTTGAGACGCAAAGGCACAACTTTTCATCACATGGTACCCGCATGATATCCACATGATACCCCTACGTGGAGAGCAGTGACCGTGAGTGGCCGTGTGTCCAAAAGTCGGGGCTCCTTGCGGGTTAGGTCCAGGTCCAGCTCTTGGAGCGCCCCTGGAAACTCCAACCTCAAGCCAAGAGAAGAACATGCTCTCGTTTAGAAAGAGAGTGAGAAAAAAAAGAGAGAGCGAGCGAGCTCATAAAGAGAGAACTCTCTGAAAGAGAGAGCGAGAGAGCGCTCTGAAGTCTTCAGTGAGACTGTGAACGCGCTGAGGAGTCTGCCGTGCTGCACCTTCCGGTCCAATACCTGGCCGTCGATCTTTTCGAATTTCTTCCTTTTCCTCTACCAGTACTCTGCTCTTCCCAGTGAACAAACATTGATTCCCGGTGCTCGGCTTGGCGATTACGATTGTCGGCGAAACCACATTTTACAGGAGCTACAACCTTTATGTCCTTACCAACTGGTACAAAAATCGTTAAGTGGCTTTGTGAATATCTTGGAAATCCACCATTTGTACACCGAATATAGAACTAGTTCTGTCTTCTTCTTCTCACGTCTCTTTTTATTTACTAAGTGGTTCTACAAGAACTACTCGTGGAAATGCTGCAGTAGATCTAGGATTGCAAAATCATCGGCGGAGTTGTAAGAAACACAGCATGTCGATTGCTGTACGGGGCTCTCCAAAGCACGCCAGCTGCAGCAGTCCTAGATGCTTTGTGCTCCGAATGCTCTGACTTCGGATCCTTGCATGCTGATGCAAGATAAAGGGGGGAGGCCTCCAATTGCAATTCAAAAGTCGCCAGTTGCAAACTGTTTTTGTCTTGGTAATGCACGTTGCTTGTTTGCTTCCTGCTTGTCTGTCTGACGTCTCTTTGCGTGCTGCTTGCCGGCTTGCTTGCCTTTCCGACACATGTGCTTGCGTTGGCTATTGCTTGCTCTTGCTCTTGCTCCAGCTATGCCAGAAAAAATTGAGTGTCGGGCCCTTCTTTCTCAAGTCCAGGACGAGACTTTGAGCGCCGGGCCCTCGACCAGCACAGCACGGCATAGACTCAGGTACTAAAGTGCAGGCACTGGACGCGGTTCAGGAAAGCGCAAGCCAAGTAGCCGAATCGCAGTTTCGACGGCAGCGCCTCGGCATCGACAATGCAATGCCTCATTGGGCTCCTGCCTCCAACGACTCCGCATGAATGAAGGCCCAGGCTGTGTGAACCTGCCGCATGCACGGAATGAGATGGGAAGTTGCACATTAGTCTTCTCAAAGTCTTCTCAACCCACGCAAAGCTAAGCCTTACCCCACTCTTGAGCCTCGCGTGCAGGGATGCCCAACAGGATTGCAGCGTGTGCTGCAGGACTGAGCCTGTCCCAGGACAGGGCGCCATTGTGCCATAGACATGACATTGTCAGCGCCTCAGCCCTTCTGGATCTTGGCTTGCAAGATTGAGCCTCAATCTCCAACGCTGCAGTGTTCCTTCTGAGTGCGAGGAGGAATCTGCGGGCAGCACAGGCTATGGAGAACTGCCCTCCTGCATCAACACATCGCCATGCCACGAAGTGCACACGGCGTTGCAAGATTCGGCCCGGACCCGCACAGATTTCGCCACGCATCTTTGGCGGTGTGCGAAGCCAAGGCCTGCGCATGCAGCGCAGACTGAGCAGGTCTGACAGCATGTCCCAATGCAGCAGGAAGCGCATGGCCGCCTCGATGCCTCTTGCGTCACGGATGAGGAGGCCCCTTCTCAGAACCTTCACAATCTCAAAGCAGAGCTACAACTTGGAGCAACGGAGACCTGAGAGTTTGGCCCACTCCAGGCTTTTGCTCGCCTTGAGTACACCATCAGAATTTGAGAACCATTGAACTTCACTATTTTTGTATTCTATTCATTATTCACTTCTCTTCTGTACGGCTGTGAACACTTCCGAAACCATTTTCAACTCCCTCTCACAAAGCCTCCGCTGTCGGCATCACGGCTTGGATCATCTGAGGCATCTGCACCAGACCGCAACAGTACAGTGATTTTCATTCCTCTACGCTCTACGAGCACTGCAAAGGCAGTAGGAGCACGCAGGTTTGACTTAAACGTCTAACCCATGGCCTCAGCACTGTGCTGCGCTGCCGCAGACGCCAGGCCCTAATTCATCAGATGCATTCTGAGCACAAGTCTAAGTCTGGCCATCTCTGACTGCGGGATGCCAGAAGACATGCCACCGTTGCCCCCCACCCAATCTCGAAGCCTCCATCATCGCATCGGAGCAACCGAGCCAGTCCTTTGGAGCTGGGCTGCACTTGTTGTCGCAGTGGCGTTAGACGCAGGTGTGTGCACAGGCAGAGCTTGCTTCCCTGCATCAGCTGCCGGCCCTCATTGCCCTCTGCATCTCCCAGGAGCCCCGCGGCCAGACTCAGTGTGTAGATTGCAAGTTTGATGGTGACAGCTTCCTGCTCAGGGACCATCCCGGGTTACAGCTTGCTCTGAGAAAAGACATGCTGGCCTCCAAGCGATCAGCAACCAATGCGCGCAGCAAAGGCATCAAACTGGCGCGGTTTGTCGTACCACAAAAGTCAGCATCCCCGACCAAAGCCAGCAAGTTAAGTCTCACTGCGACTTGAAATATCACACCCATTACATTTCTCACGTGGCACTGACTGGCACCTTTGTTGGATGCTCACTCTCATCATATCAGAACACAAAGTCGTACTCTGCTTCGTGCCTGGCATGTGCAGCTTCTTCCAAGGGGCCTGCAAAAGCAAGGGGCGGTTGAAACCGTTCCCCAACGCGGGCCGATCTCCTAGTGTTTCTGCTGCCGCCAAACTCTGAACGCCCGCAGCACGCATGCAGAAAGCAGCTTGCTTCCAGAAAATACCGGCTCAGGGGGTGGCAGGCACTCAGTACTTCTTCTGACTCCAGCACCTTGCAGGTTCAGATGCTCGGCCAGAGCACAGGGGCCCATTCCTACTTCTTCCCGAATATCAAAGGCACAGCTTTCTTTGCGCCCTTCGCGGATCGTTGCGGCTGTCTGTGCTGCCAGCATTCCGCTGAAGAGCTAGAAATGAGAGATCGCACTTGCCACATGGTGCTTCACCATGCCCAAGGCAAACCTGCGTTCTAGCATTCTGCTAGCACGAAGTAGGCTTGAAGGGTATGGATGCCGGCATAAAGCATTGTTCTCGTTTTCGGACACAACGATCGTCTACACAACTGCGACTTCTATGTATCCAAGCATCTCCGCTTGGCGACTGTGCAGAACAAGGGCTGCAGAAAACTCAGAACAACGCTTGGGCTGCAGAAAATCCAGGGCTCCCTCCATCAGGGCCCGTCAATGTACGTTTGCACAGGGCTTGATGCCTGGAACCCGCAAAGAATTCTGAGCTATACCCAACTTTGGCAGAACTCACCTGGCATTTCTTGTTTAGACTTTGTCTATTGTCTATGAAACCTATAGGCCAAACTTGTGCCTGGACATTCATGACACTAGTGCACCCGGTGGGCTCTGCATAGAAGTATGCTCCCCAGCACTGAAGAGTTCGAGAGCAGCGGCAATGCAACTGTGACAGCATGTGACAGCTTCGTTGCCTCTTAGCCAAGCACCAATATAAGCCAATATAGATTCGCACTACGACTTGTGTATTCCTTACTGAACTGCTGCCTCCACAATCTTCAGCCCTTAAGGGTGCATGTGGCAATATGTCTACTTCGAGACGGCGCGCGGCGCGGCGCGCTGTACGTAAGTCTGATTCAGCTAATACAGCTGCTAATACATCGGCTGCCCTTTTTGAGAACAGGCAAAGGCAAAGGTGAAGGCAAAGGCAAGCATGGCAAGAACTCATGCTGGCTGTAGTCCAGGGGCGGCCGGTCCGTCACTGTTTGTCGGAGGGCCTTGCAGACACTAACAGCTCAAGTTCAGGAGCAACAGTGCCACTACTATAGCGATAGCACTGCTTAGAAGTTGAAGAACTCACCGCACCTGAGAGCACGGGTTGAAACGAGAGCCCTTTGTCTGCTCTGGAGGCTGCCTACACCGGTCCTTGTCCCCATCATGGACCCCCTGTTTCGCTCCCAAGCCCAATGCAGAGCAGATCTGCAGACCCCAAGAACGAAAGCCAAATGGGCAACTGCCCCAGAAACCGGACAAGATGTGACACTTTTGAGCGGCTTCGGGCCTACCAACATTCCGCCATATTTGATGCGAGAACGTGAGACACTAAATTGAGACATCGATGGTACCCTCAGCGGCCAAAGGTTCTCACTTCGTGGTGGGCTTCTGAGCCCCCACCCCCAAACCAAATCAAGAAGTTGAGGGGCGGGATTGAAAGAAAATGAGGGGCTGTATGGAACGAGGGAACCCTAATCGAAGGGCATGGCATCGCCTTCCTCAGCCTTTTCCTCGGCAGCTTCTTCGGGAGCAAAGGGGTTGGCCCCGGCGGTCACAAAGCCACTGATTTCCTTCCTCAGAGAACTCAAACAAACAGCTACTGGTCCATTAATCTCAATAAATCATTTCTTCGAAATAGTAACGTTTTTTTCCTTGCTAAAAATGAGGGAACGCCATGCATGTACATCAAGCTCGAACGCACAGTCGTAGTTTGAAGGCCCCATTCTGTGGGCGCAGTGGTACAAAGATGTCACGTCCACTTCTGGTCAAGAAGCTTCATCTCATATGGCCGGTCGCCCAGAACCTGCATTCGGCAGGCCGGTTACACTCATTACATGCTGGTTCTGCAGCACACGAGTGAATGACGTTAACTGCATCTCGAACACATGCAGAATGCAAGCCTCGACCAATTCGTTGTACACCAAGGTTTCCTTGGCATCAAGTCCTTGGCAGCGAATGCATTTCTGCGGCTTTGCTCAGCAATGGTGCACCATGGTGCAGGCTGGCAGCTTTTGGTGAGCTCCTTGAGTTTGTCCTGTTGCCAGCAGATGGACTCGACCCGACTGTGCGCGATATCTTCTTGCTGGGCACCACTGCGGTGCTGCTTGCATGCCGTCCTCGTGCTCGAGCAGCAGCTTCTTCACTCTCTCATACTGCTGGTCCACCACCTCTCGTGTCTCTTTGTCGATCATCTGGCCAGTGGCCTCGCCTTGCGCATCGGGCGCGTGCGGACCCTCCCTCCTCCAAACTCACAAGCATGTCCAAGTGGCTGTAAGGCTTGTAGAACTGCGAGCTTGCATCAGTTTGACCAAAATTGAGAAGGCCAATCTTGTCGGACATTCCGTAGACAGCTACCATGGCCTTAGCTGGTACTGTCCGTTACAAAACTCCTGAACTCTGGTGACGCGTCCCCTGCTTCTCGCCAACGTCTTCAGATGAAGTGGTCCAGTAGGCACCCAGCACAGATGAGTCTATGCTTCTCTCCCCCCGCCAAGTTCTCTTGTTCTTTTGCACAGACCCAAGGGATGCTGCATTTGTCCAGGAGCTTCAGGAGTCAGTGTGCAAGAATGTGCAATGATGTATCTAAGTGCCGTCCTCTTCTTACCTTCAAGCGTGAACTTGAATCCCGTTCCCCCATGCCACATTGCCACACTTTAACAAACGTTCGAAGCATTCTTAAGTGAAACGTGGGCAAGTGCGGAGGCTCTCCTCTCTCTCTCTCTCTCTCTCTCTCTCGGTCCATCCACTTCTGAATTATTCTTCCGTCGGTTTCTTCGTTTTATTCGGTTTTCTCCCTCCTGCTTCTTCTGCTGCGGCAATGCCATAAACCCCGCAAGTTAGGAGCTCTCTCGCTCTCTGTCCTCTCCCTCCCCCCGTCTTGCTGCTGGGACACGTGAGCCATCTTGGTGACCTGTGTCAGATTTGCTCGTGCGCGACCCATGAGTGACGCAACGGCTCTTCGATGCCTTGTCCAGGTCATCGGAGGCGCCCGTAGAAATCTTTCCCACAAAAAGTTCCTCCAGTTGTAGGTTTCTAGGCTCAAGCCAAGATCCTTAGCCAGCATGTGGGGGAGGGTATCAAGAACAGCTCCTCCGCTGCTCGGCCGCCGAGCGACACAGCCTCAAATGTGAGCGGAGCAAATGCAAACTCGCAATCTTCCGGTTCACCATCTGTCCCCCTCCTCCACCCCTCCCTTCCTCCGCCTCCTGCCTTCGACCCACCCTTCCACCTGCACGAGGGCCTGTTAGGATGATATCTCAGCCCGATGCAGATGGCAAGTCCAATACCTTCCATCTCTTGCCCTAGCATGCGAACGCCCCTCGATACATGCTGCATTCGGGCCAAACGAGGTTGATCCTCCGCCTGCCCAAAGCCGCTACTGAGAGCTGGGCACAAGCGTGGCAGTAGTCAACACTAAGAACATGATCGCACTTGCTGCCATTATGAACCCGCCAGCCGATTTCGGCTGAACCCGCGCATTATGATCAACAGTATGCTTTCACATAGTGGCTAGCGGCCAGAGTTTCTCACTGCGTTGCGGACAGAACAATCGACATCAACCAAGGTCCTGAAAGATATCAAAAGCCGAGGATCGATCTTGTCGAGTATGGCCTCCTGCCAACTCATGCAAGTTCAGCCCATCAAGCCATTTAATGACCGCCTGCACCGCCACGTGAGATAAGTGTACGCGGAGAGAAACAAAACGCACGTGAAACCACTGGAAGAACGCAGTTCCTTGGAGTAGAGGCTGAACTCTGCTGGCAAGTACTGCGCGAAGCCCAGCGCACCACTGGATCGTGGCTGTATGGAGACTTTCAAAAGCGGATCTGCATGTTCCAAGAACCAGCCTGGTGCACGCTTACCGCATGCAGTGCAAAGGAAGTCAACTAGATGACAGTCATATGAAAGAATGACGACAATCCTCACGCGCCTGCCACTGCATGTCCCGATTCGTGGATGGCAACTGTGCGCTTGTCTTCAGCGCTCCTCACTTGAGGATCTTGAGGGTTTGAATGAGTTTGGGTGGGGGAGAGGGTTGAGCTGCAGACATGGAGCCGTGAGCCGGGGCAAAAAGTAAGACTAAGAAGCCGGCAACTGTAAACCCCAAATAGCAAAACCCTTCATCACTCGAAGCACTTCATGGTAATCATGCACGATCTTCTCTCGCATCGTCAAAACCATCGATTGGTGTGTGGCAGAAGCGGGTCTGTCCAACATTCTAGCGCTTAAGTTCCGCTGCAGCAGGCACGCAGCACAAAAAGCAAGTCGCGAGACTGCAACACATGGGTACATATGAAGTGGTAGCCAAACCGACTGAGATCTATACATACCATGTGCAGAACCTGGAAATTGCTTTTCGACGAAGAACGAGCCCGAACAACTCCTGCCTTTTCTGACTTGATGCCTCATTTCTCGAGACTAATCCCTTCTTCGTTGTACTCCCCCTTGGCTTCGAAATGCTTCGACACTGACGGCTGACAATTTCCGAGTGTCATGAGGCTGTTGGTCTTCGGCAGCCCGCCAATCACTCGCTCGGTAGCACGCTCGAAGTCATCCATCGTGACAGACTCTGCTTTTCGTCGCGCTGCGAATATGGCAGCCTGCACAAGGGATAGGCTTACACCGCCAGGCGCAAGCATCGCTCATCTTCTTTCCAGGCACGGTATGGTACGGTACTCTTCTAGCCAGTCCTCATTGCAAACGTTGGCAATGTCGGCCCCTGCAAACCCAGGCGTCAAAGCAGCCATTCTCTTGGCAACATCTTCCGTCTTCAAATTTTCCCTCGGCGAGTGCGCACAGCAAGACGCCTTAAGACATAATTTAGCTACAATTTGGCTACAATAGCTGACTGTCCCACTCAGAGATTCCGCAGAGGAAATCCCCAACTGCTTGAGACAAGCCGCTCCAGCCTGACTGGCTTCAGATGAACCATGTAAATCTTTTCACGTTCAGCCATGTCTGGCCTCGAGAGTGACACAACACAGCAAGGATGTGTGCGCACTTTCACATAGGTGAGTGGGCTCCATGTCTATTAAGT